AAAGGTAGGATATCACAAAAAAGCACCAAAAGGACTTGTGGCATCCGGAGACACCTCATGATAACCTAAACTAAAAAGTTTCGAAGAAGAATCGCTACTATAACACATACATTGTGAGAGAAAACATAAGTGTAATACATTTTAAGAGACAGAGTAGATCTAAACATAAAAATTATTGAAAGCCTAGATGACCTCTTAACATACGTTAATGTGTTAAAAACAGTAAAAATATATTAGGTTTTTTTCTAACCTAATAATCCAGAATATCGTCTTCAAATTGGGAATCGAGCAAGATCTCCATTTTAATCGTCAACAAGCTTTGACTTTCTCTGACAGACAGGAGAGTAACGAATGGCAAGGTCGGGAACATTAGCATCGACAGTTAACTACATTCAGTGTTTTTTTTGTGCTAATCACGAATATCAGTTATATTTGAATTGAAAATGGCTTCTTTATGGTTAAAAATTGACTTCATATTGTGGCGATTTTGCATGCGTTCAAAAGAGTATGTACAAGTATTCGACAACGATCTGCCTGTTTTCAGTCAAAAACCTAAGTACTCATAAAATGCAGAATTATTAGGACTACAAAATGCACGATATTAAGCGTTTCCGCCGTAAAAGTGTGCACGCTTAATCGGTAATTTAAGCGGAAAAGTAAAAATTGGATAATATAAGAAGTTCAACAGTTTCCACATGAAGTACTATGGTCTATAAAGAGAAACCACATATCTCGTTTGGCGTACTTGGAAATGAGTCATTAGTGACAAGAACTGGTTTGCCTCACAAGCAACTGTGAGACTTTTTCAAAAAAAATATCTTCTAGAGCCCAATAATGATCTTATCATTGTACATTAGTAGGCATCAGTTTGGTTTAGTAACAGATAAGAAAAATCAGCCTAGTTCTCCAGATATTAAAGTGCCAAGATAGTGCTTTTATCTACATAAATGTATAGTATAAAGTATGCTCTTCAAAATGAGAGTCAATTGAGAGCTTGATTTTTATCTGTTTAGGTATGACATCGAGTTCCCTAAGAGTCCTGAGCCTGAAATCTAGTGGCTTTTCGTAGCCTGAAAACTACATGAAACGTAGATTATCCGTTATGCTGAATCTCGTGGCAATGTTTCTTCATTGATTCATTCCACATTTACAACAAATTGATCGGTCTCTGGGTAGACAATTCACTGTCATACACATGTTGAATGATGTATAGACCCGCGACTCCGCCCTTATTCTATTAGACAGTGATGTATCACGATCAAGACCTGTTATATTTCTTCATCGGATTAGGCGTCTGAATGAAAAATAGTTGTCCAGGGCGTGTATGCGAGTGTGAGGAGAGCGACTTAATCTGAACCAAAGAACTATTCTCTTGGATAGATTTTTATTAAAATACGGATGAAAAACTAAAGAATACTCACACACAAACGCGAACGCACGATAAAAATGTGAACCTTCCTCACTGAAATAAAATAAAAGATCCAAAAGTTTTTTCAGTACTCCCTCCTTATATATAAATCTGTATATGTACAAAAGGGGAGCGTCCAGAATCTGAACGAAAACTCATACAAAAAATGACTGTACGATAGCATACGAAAAGAGAAAAACAAACGAAAAATAACTTATCTTGTACAAACAACAGACGTTAGAAACTCCTAATAAGTAAAACAAGGCCTGAATACATGACTTTTAACAGATACATAAAAAATACGTTAGATGACACTATCTAACAGTGAGTCTAAATATTATCCTACCAGAGATTTGAGCCCGAAATACGATGACGCATTAATTTTATCTTGTCAATACATATGACTTAGTCTACGACAACCGGTACGAGTTGTCAAATTCATCCCTCTCATGTACATAAGAAAATTCAACTTGATCGATTCGCTCGCTTTTCCGATCAAAAGAAACCTGCCTAGTGACTATATTATAGAATATGTCGTGAGTTGAAGTTTTACAAAGCAGTTTAGCGTTAAATAGAACGTAATAGCAGAATATTTGTTCTCTCGTTTCGTGAACATGTGGTGATTGAAAAACATGAATTATTTATTGTATACGACAGTATTTTGTCTAATATTTGTTACTGAAATTTCGTCCCTAACTGTATGATCCAGTACGACTTTATAAAATAGACCAATAAGAGTTCGTCTAAATAATGTACCAGTTAATAAATACAAATAAAATGGCATACTCGTACTAACAAACGTTAATAAAAGCAACAACTGAAATATGAAGTTTTCAATTGCTAATGTTAGTTGACTTCTGACTGTATTTACTGATAATGTTGAATACAAACGCTGAATTGCTGTTGGCAACGCAAGCGTTGTTAATAACAGAACTTGTGCCAAAAGCATTTCTATTAATTGTCTGTCAGATTTCTTAATGTGTTTTGTATCTTTATTATTATTATTACTGTGAGTAGAAAAAGTAATTCCAACAGCTCGATTTAGTTTTCTAACATTCAGTATCGTTAAATAGCCAAATATAAACATTAATAAACAAGGTATTAGTACAAATATAATAGCAAATGTTAAATCATTATATAATTGACATGAATAATTTTTAGAATAGCATGGTAATGGTAATGGTGGAGTGGAAAGATTTGCTTCGAAACAATAAAACACTTCAGCATAAATTAGCATGGAGAAAATTGATATAATTCCAGTCAGATAATAGGCATTTTTTAAACTACTTAAACGTCGACGTTGAGTACTTTGACAGCTAATAAAATAGCGATCAATTGATGCCACTGCAATCAACCACGTTGATGTTGTAAATGAAGAAAACAGGAAAAAACTTCGTATTTTGCACTGTATAGAGGACTTATTTGTTGGATCTAATCGATAAGTGGCTAATGTACGTGTTATAAGTCCAGAGTAGAGTGATACTAAACTTGATATTGAAGACGAGAAAAAGTAAACTGAACATGGATTTGAGCGTAATGAACGTTGAAGAAATACAATTAGGTTTAATACGTTACCAATTGTCCCAAACACAAGTAGAAATATGGATAAATATCGTATTACTTGCGTTGATATTGTATTTATATTTAGTATCAGGTTTGCACCGTCTGACATATCTAAACAATTCTAGTTCAAATAAACTGAGCTTACTTTTCAAAGATATGAGGATGATATATTTGTGGTGTGTCGTACACAGAAATTGATTTAAAATTGAACAAGAAGTAGATAATTATGGAAATGAAGCTACCAAAAGTGTTTCTAAAATATGCCCGTTATCTGTATTATTACATCAGTGGTGAATAAGTAAATTGAGAAAAAATACACACCTTTTACAGAATAAATGTGACAAAATTTAATAAAACATTGTTTGTCATGTTCATCTTCTGTTATGAGGAAGGAAACGATTATACTTCTGAACTCAGAAATATGCACATATCATTTCTCATAAAATAAGATGAACGTGACAAACAATGTTTTATTAAATTTTTTGTTACATTCATTCTGTCAAATATGTCTATTTTTTCTCAATTATTTTTATACAGCATGGGAAGATTGCCTTCCAAACAAAACACAAAAAACATACCAAAAAAATTACTACTGATAACATCGAGTCGATTACACAACTTCAATCGTTGTACAGAATACAGATGCAGAACGGTGAATTTAGTTTTGTAGTAGTTTATTACAAAGCTAAGTTCACATGTTCGAATCTCTATTCGTACAAGATTGATTTTGTGTTTTTCGATAGTTTTAGTTTAAAATACTATAATGGAATATTTTTCGCTTGTATTCTAACAGAATAAAGCTTATGTCAAGATTGTCTTACTTCTCTTTCACCACTGATAAAATAATACATAGAAAGAGCATATTTTAGAAACAGCGCAGATATATCACCCTCATATCTTTGAAAAGTGAACTCAGTTTATTTGACCTAAAGTTGTTTAGATATGTCAGGCTCTGTAAACCTGATACTAAATCTAAATACAATATCAACACAAAATAATACAATATTTATAACGTAGGTACGCAGACTAAGAAATATGATAATTCGTGTTTTTGGTTCAATTTTTAAAAAAAGGTCCATGTGTGTGTTGTTGCTTCATTTTAAAAAAATGTATCATGCAGTGCGAAGTGAAAGTGCTGTCTTCATTGCACAAAAAGCTGTTTCAATGATAAAAATGTTAGTATAAAACGTACTACATAACTGAAGTCTCATTTATTAATAATGTGGATGATCTATTTATATAATCATACATCAGTAATTACCAACATGCAAGTATTCATCGGCATTAGCTATTGATTGTATATAGAAAATAATATGGAATAAATTAGCATTATTAGAATCTATTAGAATCGTAAAAAGAATTATAATCTCAGTATTTTCAAATTTTCTGCTTCTACTTGGTTGGACTACTATTTTTACCGAAAAATCGTCGTTCTTTTAGAAAATTCAAGCATGCTATTTGGAGCACGGCTTGCTTTTTAATGAAGCCAGTTTTTCCAGTAAAATAATTAGTATGGCAACAAATTCCATTGATCCACAACAATTTTTTGAACATCTTGTAGAGAGAATAGAATTTTCTACTAGATGCACCATAATACATTGAGATATAAATAGCTGGAAAAATGCTCAACAATTACAGTAGTACCATTATAATTAGTATGATCCAAAGAAAATTGTTTTAAACATGATTTTCATTTGCATGAAGTCATGTTTCGTCATTAGCAGGTCAAAGCATGTTGAAAAAGTCGTTTATGAATAGGTAGAATATTAATAGTCGGGCGTTGAAAATAAGTAGTAAATAATTGGATTACTTTCTGTCCAAAAAAGAACGGACTTTGCTACGTTTTCAATAACTTTTGATAGAAAGCATATAGAGAGCTCCGGTTTTAGGCATTAGAAAGAGGAGACTTGGAGGCATGATTCCATACGCAAACATTTTTTGCTTTAGAAAAAAATTTAAAAAGTTAGTCAAAACTAAGTTTTACGAATTTCATGCTCTTTTCACATCATATTAAACACTTCACCATTCACTCAGAAAACTGAAGAACTAGTTAGAAACATTAGTATATGCTTAGTTTTGGCGATTAAACGCGATTAAATGATCGAAAAAATTTGAGAAAATAAAATATAAGTTAGTCTAAGTACTGTACATCGGCGTGTCCACGTAACTCGACACTTCAGGCATTAAGTATTTATTTCAAAACTTTAAATAAACGTTTATGACATGTTATAGAGCATGTTCGAGACTGTAAAAAAACACATTTTGTTATTCAAGGAATTATTTTTTTTGAGTCCTAAAAAATGTATACATTAATCCTCGTTTATCACACCATTGGTAGCAATTTTTTCTTTTCTACTTCGAAACCAACCATAGACGTTAATGACAAGCTTCGAACCCGCGCTTTCAGATGTTCTCTAAACGATCATAGACGGCCTTTCTTGTGGCAAAAGAATCAACTTTTCTTCTATCCTTCACCTTGAGATATTCCTAGTACAATACTTGATCAATATCGCTGTCACACCGTTACGAAAAGACCTTATTTTAAAATTTTGATGAGTCCTTTACGAAATACCAGCGAATAAAGTAGTGGGCTATTACTAACTTTTTACGAGGGTTCTGATGCACTACATTTTTCTGAAAAATGTTTCATCTAGAGGGAAATAAACGTAACGATGTGACAAAAACTTCATTTTGTGTGCTATTCCTAGCTCATATAATTCAACAATAATTCGATAGTACTAACGTCAGACAGTCTCTGGTTACAAATTATACCTGATTTCACCTTTAGTTTACTTATCTACCGATAAAGCTTTCAAAAAATGTCTAAGATTTATTGTATCTTTCGATATTTCCAGCTACGGTTAATTTTAACCATTGTCACCACACATTCAGAATCAATATCAGATTCGTGAAAATAATTTTAAATCATATCGAAATAGTTCTTCCAAATGTTGAAAAAATAAATTATTTTTCAGATGATGCTGCCTCTCAGTTTAATGATTTTCGAAATTTAACACGAATTGCTAAAGAACGAACAATAAATTTAAGTTGGCATTTTTTTGCAACTTCTCATGGAAAGGGTATAGTTGACGGAATTGGAGGTACTGTAAAACGTCTCGCGTGATCAGCTATACTGGCAGGAGAAGTGTGTCGATCAGCTGAAGATTTTATTACATTTGCAATGAAAAAAACTAAGAAAATAATTTTGATTGAAATCACAAGAAATGATATGTATAGTTCGAAAACTAAACTTGAAAATCTTTTCAAAACGGCAAAATCTGTTCCAGGAACATTAAGAATGCATTCAGTTAAAGCGGTTGATGAAGATGAATTAGAGTTTCGTTATTATTCGACGTGTTGTCAGAAAAAAACTATAACATATTGACAGTACACATGTAGATTTTTTAGAACTTTTTGATTGACTTTGTTTTGTTGATTATGGTTATATTTAGATACCCGATGAAATGTAGAAACGGGTTTCAGTTAACCAAGACTTTGCAGTAAACAATAAGATGAAATGAAAATAATAGAAAAAAAATTTTACTGATAGAAACATCTGAAAAAAACACAAAAAAAAATATCCAGTTGGAAGGAGGTCGAGTCTTCGTCCCGAGATGGAGAAACACTAAAGTTTAAGATAGTATGCACTTAAATTTTAGTGGCAAAGAGCCTCTAAGTGTCTCAAACCTGTACCAGAAGCATAGTTTATTGGAGCGGGAAATGTCCAGTTTAACGGAGACTTGAGAGGTCTCTACACATGCTGATGCTATCTTTAGTGGTTAGTTTTAGAAATATCTCTTTGAATGTCTAAACAACGTGTTGAGACAAAGTCACATCAAATAAAAAGAACACATGAATTTTCGAAAGAAATGTGACGCACCGTTACGTTTGTTTTTTGCACTTTTCATGTGTAGAAAAGATGTTAGGACAAATTTTTTTTACCATTGTGAAGCTCGTTAAAAGCTCTACAAAATTCGTCTTTACGGCATTTCATTTGGACAGCGACTTTCGCAGAAAATCACGACTTAAGGACGAACACTTCAAATTTAGGATCCTTTTACGTGACTCCGTTACGCGAGCAAAAATTTTTTTCAGAGACTCGAGAGTTGGACGGAAACTATTCATTTTTATAGCATAAATAAAGAATGATGAACTGCATCGAATGGCGTTTGAACGAACTTTCTAGCGCCTAAATTTTGCGAGATAATTGGAAAATAGTATGTCAAAAACGCAACACAGTTACGCTTGGACAAGTCGACGTCCTGATGTTTCCAACTCGTTCTTCGGTTTTCTTAGTGAATGATGAGTGAAAAGAGTGTGGAAATTCTAATTTTCGTAAAACTTGGTTTTCCCTAGTCTTTTAAATTGACGTTTTTCCTGCATTTTCTATTTTTAAACTGAACAAAAAACATATCGTTTAAATAAAATTTTGCAATTGAATTTATTATGTTAACAGGACGTGCTACTATGGGTGTGCGTATAATTATATTACACATATGTTTCTGATTGCAGTAAAAATTTGGCTTTGCTTCGAAGGGCCATTACGCATAATATCCTTATATACTTCAGGCACAGCATGAAAACAAAGGCAAAAGCGATCTCTTGACGTTGAACAAGAAAAAAATGCTCAGTCTACATTATCTTCAATCTCAAAAATGCACGTCTCATTGTACAAGATCCTGTCAAATCTTGTAAAACCTTAAGATAAGATCTTATATGACCTTGCTCCAAGATTCGCAGATCTAGGTTTAAGTGACTGTTTATGGTTATCAAATGGTTGCTTAATTTTGATGCTTGAACTCTAGCAGAAATCATGATAGATAATAATAAAACAAAAAATCTAGAAAAACAAGTAATTTCATTTCCAATTGCACCGACGTTACTAAGTTTGTATAAAGAAACACGACACACATTGTCAATCAATTGACCAAGACGGAAAATAGGAAAGCAACAAGATAAGTGTTATCAACTACCATCACACTGTCCTTCACTTCATTTTTTTTTGTATATCAGGCTTTTCGTAAGGCCAGAGACGAACGCTGTGTGCATGCTTGTAAAAAAGATCTTCGTCATTCAACATGATAACAGAACGTTTCGAAGTATATAAGC